AACAAACAAACAAAATAAGCCCCCACACAGATAAAGACATACAACCGTGCTTGTCTTTTAATGCTTCAGACACAGTTATTATCTTAAATGACGCAGTAAATCAAATTAACTAAAAAATCAAAAAGCGTTTAGAGAGGCGCAGCTCTCCGCAGCTGGTTGTGCTGCGATGCAGCATCTTCAGTAGTCTAATGAGTGCATAAATGCAAATGTGTTATTTCAATAGACTCATTCATTTCAGATTGTTTGGTTGTCTGTGTTTTTTTTGACATTTTGAGTTTGTAACATGATAAATTATTGGAAAATAATAAGAAAGAATGAACTTTTTGTTTGTCTAGTATCAGTAATTCAAATTAGCAGCTGCCATTATTATGGTTATTATAAGGCAATACACGCCACACTATACATCAAAGCTTGCAAGTGCGTTCTGTAGCCAACCAAGAATCTTTCTCTTCTTGATTTAGGAGCTTGCTCTTCCTTTGCTGTTTGCTGAGCCTTTCTTGCACAACAAATGTTTGATCTACTCATGGATTTTGAATGATTTTCAAGTCAAGGGATCGTGCCAGACAGTAAAAGACATTCAAAAGTCTCTGGTGGTGCTTTTTGAAGTAGTTGATTTTTATGTTTGTGCTTCATTGTCCGGTTGTAGCTGACCTGATTTCAGTTTCATTTTTTTGGCCGACTGAAGAAGATTAATATACAAATTTCCTTCTAGAATCTACTTTTTTCTGTATCTGCGCAGCGTTTTCAGTGTCCCGAAACAAACCATTTTTACCTATTTGGTGCCAAAGTGTTGGTTTAATCAAATGCTGCTCCTTTTCTTGTCATTGAAAGATTAACTTCATCTGTCCATTGCACTTGTTTTCAAAGCCGCTCAACAAGGTGCTTAGCAAATCTTAGATGTGAATTTTTATAATGAGATCAGAGGTTACATTTCCTTTAAAATAAACCCCTGTTTGTACATCAGTGCTGCACAGTCACCGTCACGTATGCGTCAACTAAACCCTATGTTTTTTTTCTTTGCTTCTTTGCATGGCAGTCTTGCAGTTTTATCAGAAAGTTTTCTGGGTTTCCAGATCTTGTCCTGACCTCCAGAGTTCCCCTTATGTGCCATTTCTTAATGACATTTCAGACAGTGGAAATTGCAAGCTGGAAGCACTTTGATATCTTTTTATAGCCTTCCCCTGCTTTGTAGGCATCAATTAGTTGAATTTTTCTGAACCTCAGTCAGTTTCTCAGCCTATGGTTGCTGAGTATTACCACAAGGTTTGAAAAGTTGTTGGCTGACACTTCCTAATCACAGTTCTTGACCTGCCTTATAAGTGAGTCGATTAAGGTCTAACAATTAAAAGAAGTTCTGAAGCTTTGCAAGTAGACGGCTGCTAAAACTTGCAACATTATTTCATGTTATTTTATCCCTGATTTCAAGTTGTGCATTAACATAATCAAAAGCATTACAGAGCCCAAATCAACCTAGTGTTTCAAATGAACAGTGCTCCAGAGAGTCCGCTTTAAACTGGTACAGTGTTGTCATAATGGGCAGTTAACGAGGATCAAAGTTGTATCAAATATTTCCTGGTGTGTTTATTGTTAGTCCTTTTACAAAAGGAGTCATGTACATTTCCCACAATGCCGGTAATTCAAAGACTCAAGTGTATAATGCCAGGATTTAACAAAATGTACAGTAAGCTTGCTTGTTGACTTTCCCAGAGTCAGATGAGGATTCCGTTTCTGGCTCGTTTTCATTTCTCTTCGTTGTAGCGCCTTTATGTCTTTTCACTTCAATAAAATATGTAGAAATCTGTGGAAAACAGGGGAGCCCAAACTTTTACATCCAACTATATATAAGGAAGAGTGTGGTTTAACTATAGACTTTGAGAGCTATTGAAAATACTCTTAATGCATCTCTGGCAAATCAAGCGAAATGAAACGTCAGAGAAAAAAGGGAGGATATCCTCGAATTGGATTTTGAGAACTCTAAGTAAAAACTCTGCTTGTTATAACCCTCTTCACAGATTTAGCATCTTAAGTCTTTTACTCTCCACTGCATAAAGGGGCAAATTTTTCACCCTTGGAAATATATACTGTATGGGATTATAAAGTATTGAAAAAGGAAACGCAATATGTGCAAGAGATGTCAAGTGACATTTTTCTGATTGCACTCGACTTTAACGTAGTCCTTTATCCAAATATTAGTAAGAGCTATTTTACAGGGCTAAAATACTGCACACACAGCTGAGGCAGTGCCTTCAGGAGTAAATAACACCGAATGCTGCTTAGAGACATCTGAACCCGACAGAAAAAGACTTTCCCCCTTCACGCAGCTTCTGTTTCCTCATGTTAGAAAAGCTGGAAGTCCTGAGCTGCGAGATTGAAAGGTAAGGAGATTTCAAACTGCGATTTAGTCCCGTTTCCTGATGCAAAATGCTGTTCTGTTTGGAAGCGGGCAGATGTGCACAAAGATGACAACTAAAGATTACCACAGATTGGTGAGCTGGAAAGATCAGTGGAGTTTTATTTTGGCACCCATGACATGTTTAACTGGCTCAAGCCATCAATAAAACGTATAAAGTCATCTCAGTGGAACCTTTAAGAACTCTACTTTAATAAAGTTGGGAAATATCACTTTAATGACTTCATCAAAATGAGTTAATGAGATTAAAAATCCCTTCCATGTGTCTGAAAACACATTTTAAAATAACAATTTGTCTGATAGGTTTCTTTTTCTCATAAAACAGTTAAATTACTGATATAAATCGCTAAACTAACATGTACAAAAAAGTAACAAATACACTCCTTTTCTTTAAAAAGTTGAATTATTGGATGCTTCCACGATTATCACTAAAGAATCGTTCTTAGTGTTTGTGCAATCCGAGCTTCAGTTTTCATATCACGCTCGTGTAGACTGGCTTAGAAAGCCACCATTTCTCGAATCTTACTCGTAGGTACAACTTCTGCTTACAGGTGAGTCCAGTGAAAGCGTCCACTTTCAGAAGAATTTGATACTTACAGACTGTTGTGAAACTTGCATAAATATATACATTATATACATAAATCATGCTGAATAGTGAAGGTTGAAAAAAATATCCCTACAAAAAATGTTGACGAAAACATACATAATACATGAACATCGTTTGAAATAACACATTGAAGGTTTGGTGCCAGATGAAGGCTTCCAGCGACAGAATGACCAAAGAAAGGGAACGCAGATTCCCCAGAGGTGATGATATTAGTTTTTGACTGAAATAAAAGCTAACCAGCACATTTCAGATCTTGAAACACATTTTATTAGGAACCTAATGTATTCAGGAGGGCATGCTTTCTCTCATCTGACTTCACTTTGGTTCTGAAAAATGTGAAATATACACGATCGAGGTGCTGATTACATGCTGAGAGGCTCTGAAAAGCATTCTCCAAGTAGGAAAACATTACAGCGTCTTCTATCCCAGACATAATTTTACTACAGCAAATTCAGGGGACTCTTGAGAAAAAAAAAAAAAGTATATAATCTATACACCAAAAAACCAAGACTGCACCCTTAAAACAAACAAACAATGAAAAAGCCCTGAATTGAGTAACTAAACTATAACCACACAAATGTAAAACACATAAAATTAATTGAAATTTTAACGCAGATAAATATTCTTTGTCTCTATTAATATCTAACATCTTATATTTCAAAATATGTAATCAACACCAACAATGCAAGCCTTATTATTCAGCCGAGCTGCAATCAAATGTGGGTCAACATGTGACAACAGAGTCTGCAGTCCCGAAATTCCATACACTGTAATTACAGGGTTATTTGCGGAGCTCTGCTTCATCTTGTAAGAATTTCTTTTTTGTCAGACATAGTTAAAAAGTAAATTTGGCCTTGCATAAACTGTTTATGAATGCAGTCATCCCGGAAAACCTCGGCGGAAACTTGGTGGGATTTTTACGATCTTCTAAATTTATATTATACGGCAACATCTGTCTACAATTATAAACTTCGTTTTGGACGTTTACTTCAATTCCAGCATTTGCATATCAACACATAACAAGAGTCAACATCCATAAAGTGAGGAATAAAATATCAGAATTGTAATATTTGATATGATTGTTCCAGTGTTTCAGGTTTTAAATCAAAGCTAGAACTATTACACGAAAGCTTTTGGTGTGTGCATGCTTTTGCAGGAGTAAACATCCATGCAGTTTAACACGCAACACACAGAGAGGTGCTACTGCTTATAAAGTCCTTTTACACCACTCTAAAAGCATAATTCTCTTTCTGCTGATTTGAGTATGCTTACTTTATCATTCTCAATGGTAAAAAAATAAATAAATAAAAATCCAAGCATGAGCTCTGGAATGTGAAGGTCAAAAATCAAAGCCACTTCACAACAACATGCCTCAACAGTACCAAACATGTCATCAGAAGAGATCATAAACCATGAAATAGAAGCATTAGTCCCATTATCCAGGAAATTGCCTCCCTAGCTTCACAATCTTCACATTCTATATTACAGCCTATATAAATGGAAATGCATTTACAGCTTATTTGGATGAACACCTCTATGTTTTAAAAAAAAAACATAAAACAGAAACATCTCCTTTAGGGCTAAAACCAGCCTTCGACCTGACCGAAAATAACTACCTTAAGGTCAATGTATGGGCTATGATGCTACAAAGTCTATTAATACTTGAAGTCTATTGGGTATCTGAATCTTATCAGGCTTTGGCCCCACAGATAAAAACTCTGCTCGATATTCCACTAGGTTACTCACATTACAACGGCCTCTTACACCACAAGGTCATTTCAAGTCCCAGAAGTCTCCTTATCTCTATACTCTGGTGTATTGCACTGAATGAATGTGTGTGTGTGTGTCCCACCAATAAAAACGTGTGTGTGTGTGTGTGTGTGTGTGTGTGTCGTCACTGAGACGGTGGTTACATAAACAACTCAATATGTTTAAAAGATAAATAATCATGTACTCAAACCATTTAAATGCAATCATATTTATTTTGTTGTTTAGCCACATAAAAAAGGCTCAGATTGCAGTTGGCTCTTCACAGAAGAAGCTACATTCTTCACTAAAATGTGAAAGCAGAACACACATAAACCGCCTAGTAGTAGACTACATGATGTTGGGGGAAGAACTACATCACTGACCAGGATATTTAAAAAAAAATCTTCAAACATTTGTCACCCATTTAAGAATAAAATGATATATATATAAAAAAAAACATTGACATGATTGGTGCGATTTACAGCATTTTGACACTCAAGTTGACACTCAAATATTATATATATGTAAAGCTAGGATAAAGTGTACAATTAACCTACAGATTTTTCTAACACAAGTCACTCAAATATTTTGGGTAGATAATTTTGTGATGTAATAAATATATTACCTTAATTTAATTTCAATGAAAAATACACATGTACGTCTTCTCTAATTTAAAAATATCTAATTTGAAAAATAAATGAATTTTAATTTGTTAGGATTTTTTAAACGAGTGTCTATAATTTGGAAGGACTTTCTTTAAAAGCACAAAAAAGCAAAAACAAGAAATAAACAACATTTAAATCACTTAGCTTGGGAAACTACATCACAGCAGAGCGTACTGAAAAATATACCAGTAAATGCACACATATATGAAAAAAAAAAAAATCATTGTTTTTAGTCAAATTTTTGTTGTTAAATAAAAAAGGTAAGTTCTCACTAAAATGTGTTGCATAGTCAATACATCTTTTTTTTCTGGCAGATTATATTAACTATACAGCAAAAGCTAAAGGAAAACATGTGAAAAACAAAACAAAACAAAGAACAACTAAAGGAGCAAATAGTTTGTATCCTTATCTGCACAACTGCTGGACCAACAGGAGAATCAACCAATCAGTTCCACAGTGTGTTCAGTGGAGTGAGATGAGCTGATGCTGTCCAGCTACCCATAAACCTCTCCGTTCTGCTTATTAAGGGTGCAGATGCAGAACAGTGGAGTGGCAAATCAGAGAGGACAAACGCTGTCCCAGGTCCCATTATTAACATACAGCACCAGATTCTAGTGTCCAGTTTCTGGGTTTACGGTAAACCCAGTTCAACTCCAGTACAACCAGTTTAATCCCAGCAGGGGGCGCAGGAGCCCAGCCTCCCTCTTCGAGAATATTCCCCAGTTCCTCCGAAAATGCCTTTTGTTTCGAAATCTAATTAGTTAAAAAAGTAGAACACATGTGTCTCGATCACGTCAGAAACGAGGCAATGAAGGATCATTCAGGTATTTGCGCATAGCAAAGTACAGCATGTCAGAACAAAGTAAAGAAGTCACCAGCTAACTAGTGACCTCTAACCTGAGCCGCTAAGTACAGTAGTATGTGTTTATTTGGCCACTTTTCACCAGGTTGAAAATGAGAAACAAAACAAGAAACAAAGAAAAACTTGGTACGGGTCCAGACTGACTCATTATTCCTCTGAAATCAGACTGGGATATGAGTCTTACAGTCAGGCTTAGCTGTAGAATTGATATTAAGTGGTATTACTTACACAACAGGTAGGAAAACAAAATAATCAGAAATGAATCATTGTGATTCATAGTGTCAGTTCCTGTCTCACCGTGGCCCCGTTTTGGAGAAGATGTCCGATTCTTTCTAGATTTTCACACGTAAACAGCCACGAGGCAATAAGTGTCATTTTGCAATAGCTTAGCAAATATGGCATTGTGTAATTCACAAGTAGTGCAGAGGCGTACTTGTACGCCACATTCCCACGGAGAACTGGTGGGAGGTCAGCGATGAGGACGGACAGTTCAGGTAGTCAACAGGAGCACGATGAGGAGGAGCGGCGGTGACGCTGTCCTGAGTGAGGATCCACTACTTAGAGGTACCGTTTCTGAAACAGAGATGTATGAAAAATCTTCAACTCATACACGACATATACACAAATTTGCTCAAATCTGTTTTCTAAGATTTGGGCTTGTCCTTGCTTTTCAAGAGAGATCTAAACAGTGACAGGATACGATGTTAATTCAGATACCAACTCGCCTTCAAATTAATAGCAACAGTTTTGCAAAGCCTCTGGGTTTTCTGAGTAGCACTAGATGAACTGACTGGCTTAAACAAAGCCCTGACCCCAACCCCATTAAACACTTTTAGGTCAAACTGGAGCACTGATTGTGTTTTACATCTTGTCAACTAACATCAGCGCCACAAATCACTAATGCCCTTGTGGTCGAATTGGTTAAAATCTCTTTGTGGAAACTTCCCAGGCCAGTGGAGGCTGGTAAAGCGACACATCAATGTCCATTAATTCAGCGATCGCTTTTGTTCCACTTCTTTTGACTTGTTTATCTTACGTTTAAAGCGTGTTTGAACATTGCAGTAAATGAGGGAAGACACAGAGGTGCGACCTGTCTGTTAATCGTGTAAGCATGCACATATGGCGGAAAGATTGTAAGTAACTCCAGTTTAAGACGTTGCATCTCACCTTGTTTTTGTTTTGAACCTTCTGATGCTGGAATAAGCAAGTGGGATGGGGGGTGGGGGTGGGAGAGAAAAGATTTAGATAAAGTTGAGGCAAAGAAACAAGTTGCTGATTAGTCATTTTTTCCATGCTTAACTTTCTCAATAAAGCTGCTGCTTTGTGGAACAAGAGGAGCAAGAAACAGACAAATGACCAGGGGAAGGTATTTACCATTACTCAAAGACTAACGCCATGAAAAATGAGTACTGACTGGCTGTGCAACCCTAAATATGTCCCCTATGCAAATTCTTCTAAAGGTCGGATAAAAAAAGAGCTTGAGAAGCATGGCAACAGGAAAAGATAGTGTTATGTAAATTAGAAAGAGTAAGAATGATCAAAATTATACAGAGGGGATACAGGAAATGAAAAAGAGGGAGGGAAAAATAAAAGAAAATTCAAAATGACAGAGCGAAACCAAGAAGTGGACAGAAGATGAAAGGGAGAGCAGTGGAGACTCGAGTGAGAAAGTACGGCAAAAAAAAAAAAAAAAAAAGAAGGTTGGAAAGATTGAAACAAGGTCAGACAGAGAGAAAAGGGAGGGAGA